CGGAAACCACTTCCCGGAAACCACTTCCCGGAAACCACTTCCCAGAAACCACTTCCCAGAAACCACTACTTCCCAGAAACCAGACCCCAGAAACCAGACCCCAGAAACCACTCCCCAGAAACCACTCCCCAGAAACCACTTCCCAGAAACCACTTCCCAGAAACCACTTCCCAGAAACCACTTCCCAGAAACCACACCACTTCCCAGAAACCACTTCCCAGAAACCAGACCAGCCCCCAGAAACCACTCCCCAGAAACCACTTCCCAGAAACCACTTCCCAGAAACCACTTCCTAGGTTCCAAAACGAGACGAATCTAGGTTCCAAAACGAGACGAATCCAGGTTCCAAAACGAGGCGTCGGCCCTCAACGACCACCCCCCGCCCCACACCCCCTGAACTCACTTCCTTCGCTCTAAAAGCTCAAGCCTAGCCTACCGGCTGGCTTTCGGTGATATTTATATGTATGAGGGACGGCCAAGCCTCCTTATTCTTCTTCAACTAAACAGCGGACGTCATCGGTTTTGAATTGGACCTTATCGTTTTATTGTGTTTTGAGTTGCCGCATACTTATGAACTTATGATCATATACAGAGCTGGGGTTATCGGTTTTGAGGTGGGCCTTATCGTGTTGCAGGTTTTGTGCACAAACTACCCCTCTATACTAAAGTGGTCTTCGCATGTTTTGACCGCAGCTCATATAGATGGCCCAAGACCAGGGCAGTGGCAGTGGATTCGGGTCTGAAAAGTTTTCGATGAATCGGTTTGAGTCAAATGCTGTGCCGAGGACTAATTTGGATTGCTTGTTGTCAAAGGTCATGCGGTCCTACGGCAGAAGTTCATCATATCTCGTCCTATCTGGCCGGGTCACTCGAAACTCCAACCCAGTGATCGCACCCTGTCCAACCAATGCCTCATGGCTGGTAAGGTTCACCAAGCCATAGCCAACACAGCTCTCCTGAAGGCTGTCCAACCAGGATCTTTTACGGCAGCAGTTCGGCCAGTTGTGTTTCGGATGAGAACACTCTCAGTTCGTTTCCCTTTGTGCCGACATACGTACTCATTCTGTGCTATTGATGAAGTGGATGCCATGGTTTTGCACGAGCTCAAGTGTCAAAAGCATCTCTCAACGGTTCGAGCTTGACAATTCACCCACACTCTCTCTCTCTCTCTCCACCTGGCCTGGTTCCACTGCAGAGGTACATATAGAAAGTCAAAGAAGCCCCGAAAGCCTGGCACCAACCCGGCAGAAGATGGCTGACTGCCTTCGTCCTGTGGGGTCCCAACTCATTCTAGAAAGTGCTTTGAAAAACTTATTCAAAACAGCCAGGTTGCTTCTTGTTCCTAGTAGTAAGGTGCCTTGCTACTAGTAGCTTCTTGTTACTACTATTAAGGCACTTGTTACTAGAAGCGATGCACTTGTTCCTAGTAGCTTCTTGTTCCTAGTAGTAAGAATGCTTCTAGTAGTAATGCTCTTTGTTACTCGTAGCGATACCCTTGCTCCTAGTAGCTTCTTGCTCCTAGGTACCTCAAGTTTTAGCGTCCTTGCTCCTAGTAGCGATGCCCTAGTAGCTTCTTGTTCGTAGTAGTAAGGCTAGGAGCTACTAGTAGCCACCTCAACTCTACAGCACCAAGCTTCTTCTCAACTGACTCAGCCTGCAGGCAATGTCACAACTTATGACTACACTCCCAGCTCCCTCCCTCTCTCTCTCTCTCTCTCCCTCTCCCTCTCCCTCTCACTTTTCCCTCTCTCTCTCTCTCTCTCTCCCTCTCCTTCTCCCTCTCTCTCTCCCTCTCCCTATTTCTATCTCATGGTGCCTAGCTTCTCCAACAAATCCTTCAGGGCATCCTTGTCAAAGTGTCTGGGCAGATTCTTGAGGACCAACGTGGTCCTGGGGACCAACGACTGCATGTTGCAACTCAACAGTACTCGTGGCAGGGCATCGACCATCCAAGAAGCAAAAATCCATTGTACATACAATTTATGCATATGTTCGTCCGCCCTAGATTCATGTGATGCGGGTGTGTATCACTCAATCAACCCTTGCATTGTGCTGCAGCCCTACCAATAAGCAAAATGACAAACATTAAGCTACTGGGCTGACATAGCTTGAAGGGCAAGGCCAACAGCAAGAATGCCTGAAAGCCATTCTGTCCTCGTATCTGCTCCCATTTCGTCTGACCCGAATCCTGCAGATTCTGACTCAAGCGTGTCTGCAACAGGTCTGGACGTACTGGCCAAGGGTTTCTAAACGACCCCTTCAAAAGATGGTGCACCTGAGTCACACATTCCGTCGCTGAACGATATCATGGCATGGTCAAAGAGAGTGCATCAATACTCGATACCCTGCATACTTCTAATGCAAGCTTGGATTGACACTCTCCAGCCTTGAAGAGATGCGCCTGACTCCGGTGTGACACTCCATTGAGCATCCTGAGCACGCTCAAGTGATGCCAATCAAACATACCAAGGCATTACATAATGTGGCTGTTCTTTTTCCTGCGTAGTGCCAACCCCAACAACTCAGCAGCCCATGGTGGATTGAAACAGTTGGACATCGTTGGATGTCGGACTGGCTGGTACTCGACAAATTCCACCAGACTTGTCCCTCTAAGCCGGTGGCCAGACTTGGTGTCTCTGGCCATATGTTCTCCGGCCAAACATAGGAGCCTGTTCTGCAAAATTGATGATGGCTGCCCGCTTCCAGATGGGACTAGAACAAAACTCCAAACACGTTACAAGTCTTGCGTAGATGAGCATTGTTCGCAGCTGTGGATGCAACTTGACATGGAGCGTGCATTGGAACACCCAACACCGAATGTAGTTGAACAAAACAATGAGCTCTCCAGATTTCAAGACGTTGGAGAGTGAGATTTGAATTGGCGACCGTGCCCTCTGGCCTTGCAATCTGGAGTATTGCGCATAGCCCGGCTCGGGAAACTGGCATGCATTTTGTTCCATATTCAGGTACTATGCATCATTCCACGAGCCACTAAGAACCTGTTCTGAGTCTTCACTCAGCAAGGTCTCTCTCTCTCTCTTTCTTGCTTTTGCACTAACCACTGCAAAACTGCCCGTATCTGGCAGACCATGACAATTTACCTTTTTTCACAGAGCAAGTCTGAGAAAGTCCTATATCCTTTCTCAAAAGTCTTATCCTTTCTCTCTCCAAAGAGGCCTGCAATTGCCGTGCCAGGTCCAGATCAATCGGCACTGGGCGAAGCGCCATGGATCGACTCACTCGTCGACCGGCGCAATCACAACCCGGGCTAAGTGGCAGCTGAGCCATACCGGGAACCCGGTAGTGAGACACGCAACAAAGCTATTGCTGCTCTAACTGAACTGATAGAACATGCCGGAACCTGGTAGCAAGCTGAATACCCCAGCAATTTAGCTGAATCATGTTTCCAGAGGTCTGGCAACATCTCCATCTCTGGGCCAACTGACGGAAACTGGGCACTGTCACCCGAGTGTTGGCTTCTGCACGATCCTGCACACAACCAGACCAACTGAATGTGCGCGGAGGCAAATGGCTGCCCATGCAATTTGGGTAGGGCAATCCCTTCAGCTTTTAAGAGCTGAAAGAGATCACGTCTTGAAAAAACTGGCGCAATGCTTGACCACTTGACCAATGTTCCAAATGATTGCTTGCCTTCAAAAAATTGAAATAAAGGGCGTCTCCTTATCAGAACCAACTGCGTGCGAGAATGGCTTAATGAACATGCAAATATGCATCGCTAATTACGCGCTACTCGCACTCTACTGCCTAGAATGTAGATTGATGTTCTCAAATAGAAACACCTGAAATCCAGGCATAGTGGACAGGAGAACGACAAAAATCACGTCTGTGGTGAAGCTCTTGGTGCCTGCGTGGCTCTCTGTATCCTTCAGTACATTAGTAGTTACACTAGTCGTTTCACAAAATGCATCCCAATGCTGGATCATGTATACAACATACCTGTACACAGGGACGCTGCATCTATTTGAATGTCCTTCAGGCATCACGATTTGGTTAGCCCCGCTTACAATGCCCTCCCATAGCCAAGAAAGACAACAAAATATGGAGAGAGGTGATATTTCGATGTTCCAGCGTCAAAAATACTGCAGAGCATTGGCTCCTTCATGAAATCAGTTCCGATATGGTCCTTAAGTCTTGCTTTGCCTTATATAAGACATGCGTTGCGGATATGAGTATTCTGGCCGCTCCTCCCCATCTTGATCGGTCGACGGCATCACCGCATGCTCATAGACAAGTTTGTCATCCTGCATGTTGGAAGTAATAGCATCCTTGCTCCTATTAGCGATGCCAGGAGCCCTAGTAGCTTCTTGCTCCTAGTAGTAAGGCCAGGAGCCCCTAGTAGCATCCTTGCTCCTATTAGCGAGGATGCAGTGGATTGAGCGTTGCATATCAAGAACAAGTGTTGATAATGTTGATACATTATGCCCGATGAATACTCTCTGTCTAGAAGTCATGCTTCAAGCTCCCTTCCCTCTGGCTACGCGCTGAAAACTCGTCAACAATTCTCCCAAGGCATTGCCATAGAGAATCCGTCTTGCCTTCCCCTTGTATTCGTTGTCAATGTTGCTTGGACCTTGCAGCCGGGGAAAAATGGATGGACCTCGCGGTTTGATTTTTTTGACGCATCTTGAAACGTACAAATCACATAATCAGCCGTCGCCTTGCAAACAATGTGGCACACTCATGTGACTCATGTGCAACTTTGACTGCAATCAGTGTTGTGTCATAACAGCGGTAAGCGAATTTATTTGGATGAAATCTCCAGGGCATGCCAATTCCTGGCATAAATTTTAATTTCATCATAGGTGCACCGGCTTCGGAACAACCAACTTAGACTTGGATTGTTCTCCTGTTAGCCTATTGCCTTTGTTTGCCAGATTGCAATGTTGAAACATGTTGAAACAGGACAAAAAATTATCCAGACCTAGATCTGGGCCCGGTCTCTTGGAAATGCCTCAAGCCAAGTGGCGCTTTGCCTGGGTCGAGCCCCACAAAGCCGGTGACACGCCTGGCAGAAGATCCGATCGAGGTTGCAAGTCATGAATTCCATATGATTCTATTGTGTTTCAAATTGCTCAAATGTTCGAACCCTTCTTCACAAGTCAAACACTGGTTGTCTTCAAAGATCCGAATTAGCCTTGACGGAGAACTGGATCGCGAGAAACCTACCACCCTGCTGTTGCTGGAAACTACGCTTTATGTGCTCGGAACTGGCCAGGAGGTCTTGAACTGATAATCTTGCTCCCACGGCAATCGTCAGTACATGTTCTCCAGCTGCAGTCACTCTTTCAAAACATACCGTGCTTGGCGTCGGCATCAAATTAAGATTTCTGTACATGCATTCTGCACTTGCAGTTTGAATTAGGGAAGAGCTATCCTGTGAAGGACCGCGCCTTTCACAGACTTGTGACCCAGTTCCGAAACACAAGTGCGGACCGTGTCTTGAAGTTGTACGCGTCTTTGGGTGTCCAGCTTGTTACAAGTCTCCCTGAAACCAGCTTAAGCCTCGGCGAAGACATCCAATTAACCCCTTTGCAGTCCAAGGCTAAGGGCTTCAGCTGCGACGACTAGATGGTTTGAGCTCAGGCTGGATCCTTCAGCTAAGGCTTCCCAAAGACTCTGCGCTGCCAAATGTTACAGGCACATAGCGCGGTACCTGTGGCACAGTGATCGCAAGGCCCTGCGGCTGAGGGATTTCAGCTTCATTGGTCTTGCGCGGGGGCCGTGGATGGCGCTCATCGTAGCGACGGCACCATGCCTGTGCACGGCGGCTTGGTGAATCCCTTTCGCTTCCGAGTCCCGGGGTCATTGCATCTCCATCCTTTGCGGCACCGAAATAAAAGTGTCAAAACGTTCCTCAAACACGGCCTGAGGGGTCCATAAGACCATTTGTGAGGCCCGCCAAAGAGTTGCCCTGTCCTGGGATATCCCTGAGGCAAAATGCATGTCCCTTGTACCTATCAAATCAAGAGCCAAACTGTATTGACTTCTACCTCAATAGTGCAGTGTGTGATCAACTTGATCCACAATTTACATCTTAACATCAAAGCTTTGCGAATAGAAGTTGCGGCTGCAACAATAGACCCTTCAGACTTCGATCCTCAAGTCGTTCACCCGCCTGAAGCGCTTCAGGCGCAAGGAATTGGTGTTCCCGTTTCTCAGCCAATTCGACCCCGGTGCCTCGTAGTGCTGCTCACATTGCTCGCGGCTCCTGCACATTGCTTCGAGGACGCCGAAAACCACGAAAGAACCATTCAGAGATTCAGAGCCCAAAGAAATCTGCCACATACAGACACATTCTCTGCAGAAGTTTGGGCACCTTGGCCGGCCATTTGTGTGCACCTCTCAGGGAGGGCCAGAGATCTTTCTGAAAACCGAAGCGAAAGGAAGACTTGGATTGGGCACATCCTAAGGGATATGCCGTTAACAAGGTCAAGCGCAACAAGGGCACTGCAAATGACACAAATAGTCAGAGAATCAAGTTCCACAAGGACAAGATACCACAATACTACTCAGCCCTCCAGGTTCTTCCAGTTTCTTGTTGCTTTCCGTGCCTTTTGGGAAGGTAGTGGCCGAGAGGCTACCTTCAAGACAGTTGCAAAGAGACACTGTACCCGCTGTACCCAACACCCAATCACACTCACCAGGTTGCGTTCAATAGGTCGACTGTCATGTTCGGCTGGTATGGACATTTTGGGGGAACCCTGCTTTCAAGGAAGGTAGAACGGGCTTCTCACAAGACTGAGAATGACTGATCTAGATAGGTCACAGGTCTTGTCTTCCTGGAATCAATTACACCACCGTAGACCCCAAACAGTTTGTGCTTTTCAAAATCGGAACACTCTGCAACTAGAGCTTGCGACGTCCAGAGATGGGAGACAAAGGATTGCAAGGCAGAGGCAGCCACAGCAGTCCAGAGCTGGGAGACAAATCTACACACAGGGAGACAAATGTAAAGATTACTTTAATGCAAGGCAGAGGTGGATACAGCAGTCTAGAGCTGGGAGACAAACGTGCAGGATTGCAAGGAAACAAGAAGGGAGACAAATGTAAGGGATTGCAAGGCAGAGGCGGACACAGCAGTCAGAGCTAGGAGACAACGTAAATTTAAGGATTGCAAGGCAGAGGCGGACACAGCACCTCGGAGACACAGCAACCAGCTGGAAGACAAATGTAAAGGATTGGGAGACATGTAAAGGACTGCAACACAGCAGTCCAGAGCTGGGGGACAAATGGAAAGGATTGCAAGGCAGAGGTTGGCACCGCGCAACAAGAAGGGAGACAAAACGAGACAGAAGGGAGACAAGGCGGACACAGTGACCAACAAGAAGGAGACAAGACCGGAGACAAGTGGAGACACAAGGGAGACAAGGCGGACACAATGACCAACAAGAATCCTTTACATGCCCCAGCTCAGTGTCTGCCTCCGACAGCAAGAACAGAGACAAGAAGGTAGACACAGTGACCCACAAGAAGGGAGACAAGACCGGAGACAAAGAAAGAGAGAAGGGAGACAAGGCGGACACAAGACCAACAAGAAGGGAGACAAGAAGAGACAAAAGGAGACACGAGGCAGAGGCGGACACCGCAGTCCAGAGCTGGGAGACACATGTAGAGGATTGCGAGGCAAAGGCGGATACAGCAGCCCAGAGCTGGGAGACAAACGTGCAGGATTGCAAGGAAACAAGGGAGACAAAAGGAAACAGAAGGGAGACAAGGCAGGCACAGTGGCCCACAAGAAGGGAGACAAGACCGGAGACAAAGGGAGACAGAAGGGAAACAAGGACGGCACAATGACCAAAAAGAAGGGCGACAAGAAGGGAGACAGAAGGGAGACAAGACGGAGACAGTGACGAACAAGAAGGGAGACAAAAGGAGACAGAACAGAGAAAAGAAAAACAGAAGGGAGACAAGGCGGACACAGTGATCAACAAGAAGGGAGACAAGACCTGAGACAAAGGGAGACAGAAGGGAGACAAGGCGGACACAATGACCAACAAGAAGAGACACAAGAAGGGAGACAAAAGGAAACAGAAGGGAGACAAGGCGGACACAGTGACCAACAAGAAGGGAGACAAGAAGGGAGACAAAAGGAGACAGAAGGGAGACAAGGCGGACACAGTGACCAACAAGAAGGGAGACAAGACCGGCGACAAAGGGAGACAGGAGGGAGACAAGGCGGACACAATGACCAACAAGAAGAGAGACAGGGGGAGGCGGACACGCTGTCCTGCAGCAAGGCGGACACCCTTAGAAAGCATTGAGAACCCCTAAGAGTAACCTGTTTGGGGAAGTAAAGAGATCACCTGGGAGACAAATGAATAGAAATGCTGCATGGCCAGCGAAGAGGGGCGGACACCAGCAGTGACAGACCTGGGAGACAAATGAATAGAAAT